TTTCAACTGTGCTACAGAACAGAATCCACCCCAATGGATTCAAGTCACAAGAAGACAAATTTTTGATTAAGTATTAGGAAGGACTTCTGATGGCATGAGTTATTAGGTAACGGAAGATACTATTGCAGAAGGTAATGGACTTTCATTTATTGGGTGTTTTTAACCAGAGCTTAGATGGCCATTGGTCACACATGCTTTAGCTGTGGATTTTATTTATTGGCAGACACTACTTCTGAGGATGCTTGCCATAGATGCAGGTAAAACTTCAGGAGAGAATACCTCTAGAACAGGGATCCTCAAACTAAGGCCCGGGGGCCAGATGCGGCCCTCCAAGGTCATTTACTCGGCCCTCGCACAGGGTCAACCTAAGTCTGAAATGACTTGAAAGCACACAACAACCCTATCTCATCAGCAAAAGCAGGTCCACACTTCCCATTGAAATATTAATAAGTTTGTATTTGTTAAAATTGTTCTTCATTTTAATTATTGTATTGTTTTAAAGTGTTTTTTGCACTACAAATAAGATACGTGCAGTGTGCATAGGAATTCATTCATGATTTTTTTCCAAATTATAATCCGGCCCTCCAACAGTTTGAAGGATTCTGATCTGGCCCTCTGTTTAAAAAGTCTGAGGACCCCTGCTCTAGAACATGGCCATATAGCCCGAAAAAACCTACAACAACGCAGTGATTCCGGCCATGAAAGCCTTCGACAATATATTGGCAGACAGTTGAACATGATTTTTGGAATCCCTTCTGAGTCTATATTTCTATGGCCTCATCTACATTGCCATGCAATACAGTTAAAACTGCATTGTATGGTCTGTGTGGATTCATATAGTGCAGTTTAACAGCATTGAACTTCATAAGAGGAGTCTACACTGACTATGTACTGCAGTTTTAAACTATGTGATATGGCCACATAGATGTAATCTTAGATGGGGCATCAGTGTTCTTCGGTTCTTTTGCTAGTCTTCGTGTACTTTCCCCCCTCACAATTCATTATCTTTGGATCCTCTTCTTTACCATTAGATTCTTCATCAGCAATCCTTTTGTAATATTAGGATGCTTATGTGTCGAGACCAAAATAAATTTAAAATGCATGAATACACACCAAATACAAACACACATTTGTTTTTGTTTGGATAAGGTTTGAGACTTATAGAACAGCTACTTTGAGGAGAAACTTTGTGGATATATATATTTTTTTTGTTGAGAAATTGGAAAAATCTGCTATTGATCTGAAGGGCTTATGTTGTTTAACCAAGTCAGTTTAAATTATGTAATACTCTGTGCTAATTTTCACCCTACCTCCATACTGCATCACTATGAAATCTGTCGAAGGCTTTGTGGTCAGAATCCCTGGGTTGTGGTGAGTTTTCCAAGCTGTATGGCCATGTTCCAGAAGCATTCTCTCCTGACATTTCGCCTGTATCTGTGGCAGGCATCCTCAGAGTTTATGAGGTCCTCACAACCTCTGCAGATGCCTGCCATAGATGTAGACCTCATAACCTCTGAGGATGTCTGTCATAGATGCAGGCGAAATGCCAGGAGAGAATGCTTCTGGAAAATGGCCATACAGCTTGGAAAACTCACAACCCAGTGTGTGTTTATTTTTAAGCTTTGCTTTTGCTAAGGATGGTGAGGGCTATGTAAGTGTTTGAGGCCCAATTCACCTTTTCTTTGGAAATATGATTCAGCTACTTTTTTCTTCTTATATCTCACTGGACATTGCTCGTACTTTCAAAGTGGCAAGCTACAAAGGAAGGCTGGTTTTGTTTTCAGAAAGAGAAAAAAGAGCAGAGGCATCTAAAATTCTTAGCTCTCCTAGCTTAGCCTTCTGTATTTGCATGCAGTCTTGTGGAACATGTAAGATACTCTGAGGACATTAATTAGAAAGCTGAAGCATAAATAATAATTTCAGGTTGTTATGTGGAAAAAGGTGCAAGTGGCATAGAAAAAGTTGATGGCGAAGTTGCCTTTCTTGCTTCGTCACCAAGATAAGATAATTATAATGCTCCACAATTAAACTTCTTGGGGTTCCGTACATTACAGTGTAGAGCAACTCTGCAACTATGGTTTTGCATTTGCTGTGCATTCATAATCAGAGTATTGAAACTACCACTATCCTGCCCCTTTGAAATATTTTTTTCATGGCATCCAAGTCTTCATACCTTAAGTGTCTGGCATCTTGCCAACATTGTACAGTATGATAAGAAAATTGTTCAGGGATACGGTTTGGCCTCCTGACAGCGGAAATCACTTTTGAGAGACTTTTGAGAGACTAGAGTATCTAGTGGTTGACTTGCTAGTGTCCACTGGCATTTACCAAGGTAAATGGGTCAATGGTCAACTCTGATTACAAGGATGACTGTAAAATTGTTGCAGAAAAAAGGCCCACATCTTTAGCACAGCCAATACACTGTACCACCAGTTCTTTGTAGCTTTAAGTGTCCATTAAACTATTGAATTTATGCAACCTGACACCATTTTAACTGCTATGACTCAATGCAGTGGGATATTGGGAGTTGTAGTTTTCTAGGATCTTTAGACTTCTCTGCCAAAGAGTGGTGGTGCCTTTCTAAACTATGTATTCCAGGATTAATTCTTCAGTGTAGATGCACCTCTCTGACTATCTCTTTTTATTTTTCAATGATATTTATAATCTTTCTCCTCAGTGTCCTGTCACTTACTGTTGGCAAATGGCTGCACTCCGATTTTTTGTTTGTTTTGCACTTCACACTGCCAAAAGTAGTTGGAGCAACACATTACTATTAGAACCCTTTCTTTGTTTTTAACCACTCCATTATATTTATGTAGTGAAACCTCAAAGGTTCTACAAGATCCTTTTGCACACCTAATATATCTTGGCATTTATTTGCAAAGTTATTACAATCAGTTATCGATTCAAATAGCAACATGGAACACAAAGCTTAGGTGTTTGTGCATGCAGTTCATCTTACTTTACCAGTTTATTGCTGAGTCATGCCTACAGTGCCAGGGCATTTTTCTCCCTTGGCTTCATCTCTTTGCAGTCCTGTTTCCAGGACTCCCTCACAACCTCAGTAGATACCAAAATCCAGGGATGCTCAAACCTTTTATATTAATGATATAGTAAAATATAGTAAAATCCCTGATATAAAATGGCAAAATTAAGGCTTGCTTTTTGGATTTTTTATATATATTTTATCTATCTATCTATCTATCTATCTATCTATCTATCTATCTACCTATTTCCAAGCTGTGGATGGTTGAATCTGTGGATACAAGGGACGACTGTATCTCTTGTGTTTTTTAACTTTCCAAAATCAGAAGACACTGTGAAAAATAGAAGCAAAAACATTCTTGCCTCTTTCCACTTTTCTCTTTCCTTATTTAGAGATATTTGACCCTCTAGTGTTATTACTGTGTATGAAGTGACCCATGAAAGCTTATGTCACCATGAATAAGGGCACCAAATCAATGGAAGATTTAAGATCAACAGAATGACCTCCAGATATGTTTTGAAAAGAGGAAAATAATATAGTTAGAAATTGGTTGGCAATGTGTAGGTAGGGGTAAAGGTTTCCACTTGACATGAAATCTAGTCATGTCTGACTCTGGGGGGTGGTGCTCATCTCCATTTATAAGCCAAAGTGCCGGTGTTGTCCATAGACACCTCCTAGATCATGTGGCCGGCATGACTGCAATGAGCACTGTTACCTTCCCCCTGAAGTAGTACCTATTGATCTCCTCACAGTTGCATGTTTTAGAACTGCTACGTTGGCAGAAGCTGGGGCTAACTGCGGGAGCTCACCTCGCTCCCCGAATTAAAACTGTTGACCTATTGATCGACATCTTCAGCAGCTCAGTGGTTTAACCCGCTGCGTCACCAGGGGCTCTTGATAATGTCCATTGGTGTAATATTTTGGATCCTTTTCTATAGCTTCTCATGCACAGGAGATGAGGATAGTGCAAATTTGTAATGTGGCTAGACTTCCCACACTGACACCACAAATTCTTCACCCTATATATAGTCTTATGAGCCACACAACAATGTTTGTTCTAGTTCTTTGTTATTACATAGTCAACATTTCTGAGAAAGACTCACCCTTGCTACTCAAAAAATGACACCTAGTATAAGATACTGTGTTTACTAAACATTTGGTAACCCTTTCTCATTAGTAAAATAGAGAACTCCCTTTGTGTTTTGAATTTTTAAAAATATCATGAACCATCACAGTGACAAGAATTAGAACAATTAACTGTGTTTTATTACAATCCAAAGAACTTGCTGGATTACCCATTGCTAATATGCTATTGTTAGTATTATACTACCGAAAATGAGAGTTTTTGTCTGATTCTTCCATCTAGTATAATCCTAATCACTGGACTATCATTTGAATCCATTGATCTAGTCTCGGGAAACAGAAAATAAGATCATTCCATCTTCTATATGACATCTCTTCAGATATTCAAACATGGCTAATTGTCACGTCTCAGTCTTCTCATGATATCAGACATTTCCCTGCAAGTGCCCCCACTTTGGCCAGCACTGTGCATCATATTATTATGTCAGAATGATTCTAAATTGTCCTAAATGTTGCAAAAAAGAGAGAGTAAACCAAAACACAGCTGATTTGCTACATGTATATTGAAATATTTAGTGCTGATTGTTACCAGATACAAAGAGTTGTAAGTCCTTCTGATGTCATCCAGTTTGAGCATTGGTTATATCCCATGTTGCAGTGGATACTCTCAAGACATTAAGAGTTTTCAGTGCTCTGCAATTTAATTTTATATACTCATTCACATTTTTGGGCCATGCATACTTTGCTTAGCTTATCTGTGTGACAGCTAAGTTGATTGGAATGCGTTTCTTTAGACCCTCAAGAAAACTGAAGGAGTTGGCATAAGTTTGTCAAAAGCAGTTACAATTGGTTTCTATTGCTCGATTCATTAGAAAATGAAAGTTCCTCAGTGGTTTGTTTGCTATTTGATTGTGTGCTTTTCCCCCTCCAGATAATGGCATTACACCCACGCAGAGTTCGATTGAAACCCTGGCTGGTAGCTCAGGTAGACAGTGGTATGTATCCAGGCCTTGTTTGGCTTAACAGAGAGGCCAAGCGGTTTCAGATCCCTTGGAAGCATGCAACTCGACACAGTCCTCAGCATGAGGAGGAAAACACCATTTTTAAGGTAATTGAAGAATGCTCTCCATTACTGGAACATTGACATAGTATAGTAGATTGAATGGGAAATTTGAGCTAGTGAGGACCAGCACACATCCATAATTCCCTGTGCTCCCTGAATCAAGGGTAGAGACATAGTAGTAAAAGTGTTTGCAATACTTGAGTCTGTGGCTTGGTGTTGCCTTTTGCTGCGGATGCTGAATTCACATTTACCTGTATATTTAAGTCCCACAGACTCATGCAGTTAGCAGAGACTTTTGGAAAATTGATTATGTGGCAGAAACTATTTTAAACTTTGTTTTAGTGGAATGCCATAATATTTAGCTATATACTAGTCTAATCGTTCCATAGAATCATTGTCAGATTAGTTGAATTTTCAAACCAGTTACAGTCCTGATGGTGCAAGGCAGTATCATAAGGATGTGATTAGATCTTCATCTTTTTTTTCTGTATTGGAAGGTACTCATCATGAATAGCTTTCAAAACAAAGCACTAACCAAGCTTTTTTGAAAATGGTACTTCATTAAATAAAAGTATGGTATCCCTTATTAATGTTTTGTTTAATGTTCCACTATGTAATTCAACACTATTCATTCTTTTTCAATACTGAAGGCTTTAAAAAAATATTGGAATATGTTTTTCTAATCTTTTCATTATACTAATTCAGAAGTGGTAACATTTAGTCTTCTTTTTGTTTTCTGCCTTCATCTTGGAAAGAAGTGACAAGTGGAGTGCCTCAGGGTTCCGTCCTGGGCCCGGTCCTGTTCAACATCTTTATTAATGACTTAGATGAAGGGCTAGAAGGCATGATCATCAAGTTTGCAGATGACACCTAATTGGGAGGGATAGCCAATACTCCAGAGGACAGGAGCAGAATTCAAAACAATCTTGACAGATTAAGTTCAACAGTGACAAATGCAAGATACTCCACTTTGGCAGAAAAAATGAAATGCAAAGATACAGAATGGGGGACGCCTGGCTCGAGAGCAGTACGTGTGAAAAAATCTTGGAGTCCTCGTGGACAACAAGTTAAACATGAGCCAACAATGTGATGTGGCGGCAAAAAAAGCCAATGGGATTTTGGCCTGCATCAATAGGAGCATAGTGTGTAGATCTAAGGAAGTAATGCTACCCCTCTATTCTGCTTTGGTTAGACCACATCTGGAATATTGTGTCCAATTCTGGGCACCACAATTCAAGAGAGATATTGACAAGCTGGAATGTGTTCAGAGGAGGGCGACTAAAATGATCAAGGGTCTGGAGAACAAGCCCTATGAGGAGCGGCTTAGGGAACTGGGCATGTTTAGCCTGAAGAAGAGAAGGCTGAGAGGAGATATGATAGCCATGTATAAATATGTGAGAGGAAGCCACAGGGAGGACGGAGCAAGCTTGTTTTCTGCTTCCTTGGAGACTAGGACGCGGAACAATGGCTTCAAACTACAAGAAAGGAGATTCCATCTGAACATTAGGAAGAACTTCCTGACTGTGAGAGCCGTTCAGCAGTGGAACTCTCTGCCCCGGAGTGCGGTGGAGGCTCCTTCTTTGGAAGCTTTTAAACAGAGGCTGGATGGCCATCTGTCAGGGGTGATTTGAATGCAATATTCCTGCTTCTTGGCAGGGGGTTGGACTGGATGGCCCATGAGGTCTCTTCCAACTCTTTGATTCTATGTTTCTATAATTCTACTGAGGGTCTGCCCACACAGCCAAATAACCTAGAATGTAAAGGCAGAAAATCCCACAATATCTGCTTTGAACTGGGCTATCTGAGTCCACACTACCATATATTCCAGTTCAAAGCAGATAATGTGGGATTTTATTCAGGGGTGTGGAAGGGGCCCTAGTTAAACTATTTTGTGTATATAGAATACAACTCTGTGTTTCTATTTGGCATGGGCAATCCAAGGTTCTAAATGGTTCTAAAGTACTTACAAAACTAGGGGTGCTGGTGCTTTGCTTCTAAAGTGTTGCTAAAGTTCTGGTGGTGAAAATTTCAGAACTCTAACAAAACTTTCAAAATTTCATTATAAATGGCAGTTCCTAATTGGTTCTGTCATGAAAATTTCCAATAACAAAATAATAATGAAATTTTGAAAGTTTTGTTAGAGTTCTGAAATTTTCACCACCAGAACTTTAGCAACATTTTAGAAGCAAAGCACCAGAGCATTCTAGTTTTGTAAGTACTTTAGAATAATTTAGAACCATGGATTGTCCCTGCCTAGTATCTATCACTGTTTAGTTGAATAATGGTTTGAGTATTGGATTACGACTCAGGGTTCAAAACCCCACTCAGCTATGGTAAGTCATACTTTCCTAGCCCCAGAGGAAGGCAATGGCAAACAGTTTTTTCCAAGGAAAGCCCACAGTAGAGTTGCCTTAGGGTCGCCATGAGTTGGAAATGACATGAAAGCACGGCACAACAACAAATCTAGCACCCTTTATATAAACAGCACCACACTCATAACCCGAAAGGTAAATCAATTTGATATATTCATTACTGCTTTCAAAAGCAGATACAACTCCCTTCCTCTCAACAAGATACTCACTGTCTTATCTCCCCTGTGTATACTCTTAAGCTGTACCTGCCTTTATCAGGTTGTGGCATGTTTCCCTTTGAAGCTGCCTAGTACCTTCCATTCTGGGAAACATCAGATTCAAGGCTCTAATTATCTGATTCTCAACTCTTGACCTTTTCTCATGTTTGAGCTTTGTTATGTATCTTTGTGGGACTTGCTTTTGAGTGACCTGCACAAGATTGCCTTCTAAGATTTAACTGGTTCATTAGATGGCTTTTACCTTCCTTCACATGAACTATTAAAATGCCATTTCCCAAACAGAAGAGTATAAAATATAATTTTATAAAATTTAAAAAAAACAAGAGGAAAGCCATTTATGATTACTGCTGTTTCGTGCAAGTTTAACAAGCTCTGTACTAGCAATAAAGTCTAAGAGATTTCTGGAAGATTTGTATGCAAATTCATTTTATCTAGATAATATCAGAAACTTAATTCCATATTTTAAAAAAGTTGAGGAAAGTTTGTTTGCCACTGAGTTGACTTTCATTGGATTCAGCCAGGTAGTCTATGAAGAAATGGTTCATTAGACTGTACAGAATTATGTTGGTTTGGAAAATCCCTATGTGATACTTTCTTCTGCTGTTTGTATTGGAAAGAGCTGAGCCTGTAAGTAGCAATGGTTAGTTAGCTACAGCAAAAGGTATTTATTGCCTAGATGCACGTGATAGATGTGAGTTTGGCAACATGATTCAACAGAAGCTGGCACAATGACAGTATTTAACTGAGCATGGTGTACTTTGCTCCCAGGCATGGGCCGTGGAAACAGGAAAGTATCAGGAAGGAGTTGATGATCCTGACCCTGCCAAATGGAAAGCCCAGCTGAGGTGTGCTCTCAACAAAAGCCGGGAATTCAATCTGATGTACGATGGCACCAAAGAAGTGCCAATGAATCCCATTAAAATATATGAAGTCTGTGATATCCCACAATCCCAAGGAGGAATCATTAACCCAGGTGAGAAATACAGAGACACTTGCTTTTAAAAGAAGCATCAGACTAGTTCTGCATTCAGCAATTTTATGGTCAGCATAAGCATATTTGGTTATTCTTGATGCAACATTTTTGACACAAAATTAATTTTAGGTTAATTTCCTTTCTCGGTAAGTTTGAAGCCATCTTGTACGTATTGTCCCCTGAATGCTTGGGTTTTTTGGAAAAGCTTTGTGGATCATATGTAGTCTTTCACAATTAAGTGTAGGAGTAGGAGGAGAAAGAAAGATATTGGATTTAGGGAGTTTCTTTGCATTGCCTCCAGCTTTCTTTGTGTCTCTCTCCCCCCATCCCCCTTGCTTCTCCTTTAGCTTGTTGATACTAGCCAGGTACACTAGTAATAAAACAATATGCAAAGGAAACTTGGAGCACTCTAGAGACTAAGAGAAAGACATTGGAAGCACAAGCTTTTGTAGATAGTTCCTACTTCTTTACGTGCAAGGAAGAGCACATTCTTTGAAGGGCCATTTTTCCTGAAATTTTATTTGTTGTAATTAATCTGGGATTTCTCCTAGCACATCTGTAGATACAGAAATGAAGTGTGTGTGTGTTTGTGCTGGAACAACTGTTCCGGAAGCTATGTCAGGAGAAACTTGAGAAACTGCAAGTCGTTTCTGGTGTGAGAGAAATGGCCGTCTGCAAGGACGTTGTCCAAGGGACGCCTGGATGTTTGATGTTTTATCATCCTTGTGGGAGGCTTCTCTCATGTCCCCGCATGAGGAGCTGGAGCTGATAGAGGGAGCTCATCCACCTCTCCTGGATTCAAACTTGTCAATCAACAGTCCTGCCAGTACAAGCGTTTAACCCATTGCACCACTGGGGGCTCCTTGGAAGCTAGCTGTGGGAAAAAGATGGCTAGCAGATTCAGATCTGGATAGACATTTTCTGACCCTCCTACGAACCAGCTGAAATTGTTAGTGAGGCAGTTTTTTGTGGTCTTTTGATTGGATTGTACATATTTTAGAACAGGTGGAAGTGCTTCGTGACTAGTAGAAGCCTTCTAATAATAAGTTAGGAAGGACAGAAAGAGAAGCACGATAGAATTGCATTGCTTCTAGAAGTATGGAGGAGACAAACAGTATGCATGATCCTAATATCTATGGAAACAATATCTGTGGTTTCATATATACTCAGCTTCACTTATTTTCTTAGGTCCTCCTATACAAGCTACACTCTCTTCTCAGTACCGTTCTTGTTCATCCCATTGAAAATAATAATAGGGTTTGTTATTTGTGGTTTCACATATCCCTGTAAAGTATGAGAACATATTCCATGTTGTTGTTGTTGTTCATTCGTTCAGTCGTCTCCGACTCTTCGTGACCTCATGGACCAGCCCACACCAGAGCTCCCTGTCGGCCGTCACCACCCCCAGCTCCTTCAAGGTCAGTCCAGTCACTTCAAGGATCCCATCCATCCATCTTGCCCTTGGTCGGCCCCTCTTCCTTTTGCCTTCCACTTTCCCCAGCATAATTGTCTTCTCTAGGCTTTCCTGTCTCCTCATGATGTGGCCAAAGTACTTCAACTTTGTCTCTAGTATCTTTCCCTCCAATGAGCAGTCGGGCTTTATTTCCTGGAGGATGGACTGGTTGGATCTTCTCGCAGTCCAAGGCACTCTCAGCACTTTCCTCCAACACCACAGTTCAAAAGCATCGATCTTCCTTCGCTCAGCCTTCCCTAAGGTCCAGCTCTCACATCCGTAGGTGACTACAGGGAATACCATGGCTTTGACTAGGCGGATCTTTGTTGTCAGTCTGATATATTCCATGTAAATATGTGGATTTTATTGTACTTGATGTCATTCTACAAGTGCTACTGGGAATAATTATTTCTGTAATAGCTCACAGAAAAGGCAAATGCATTTCTTCACTGTCCTCTTTTGATAACAAAAATTCACATCACGTGCTAATTCTTTCTGCCTTTTCTCCAGGTTCTACTGGTTCAGTTCCATGGGATGAAAAGGATAATGACCTTGATGACGAAGATGAGGATGAACTGAACCAATCTCAGAATGTACCTATACAGGACACCTTTCCATTTCTTACTATCAATGGTTGGTACATACAGTATGGCACAGAGTGTGTACTGAATGAATATCTGTATATTTCAGCAGTGGCTATTTTTTTTTTTATAAATGCCACATCTTGTTAATGTCTCAGGCAACATCTAAATCAATAATTTCAAAGATCAGCCACTTCATTATCAGTTGATTAATCAATGTGTTGCAGAAAACAGAAAAAGGAGAATTGTTTGTAATGCTACTTGTGAGGTATCACACAATTGGTTTCCACTTCCTTCTAGTTGCTGGCTTGCTCTCTAACTTCACTGTTTATATATTGTAATGGTTTTGTTATAATGTGAAATTACCAAGTTGGGTCCATGGTGTTTTGCTGCTTGGGGTGCAAGACCTCACTCCTCATAATTCCAGGTACGGAAGTTGAATCTTGCTTCAACACTGGTCAAACTAGCCATGGCTCTCCACTTTCCAGCCTCTGTGACCTGAAGCAGATGCTTCACTTTGCCTAATCATAGGGATGGCTCGATCAGTTCCACATATCAATTGAATTTTTTTGCTACTCACTAACCTATTTCAAAATGTTGGGACCTCACTCTTGATTATTTTGTCCAAAGATCTTCATAAAGATACTTGGTGCAGTGCTACTTCTGTCTATGAACAGATGTAAACGAAATTGCGGCTTCTTTTGTCACTTTTGCTGCTGGCATGCCCCATGAGGGAGATGATGCAAATCACACTGGAAAAGAAATAAGAGGAGTGTGTTTTATGATGGCTCCACCATCCCTATTCTAGGTGGAGCAAAGACAGACTGTGCCAAAACATAGCTCATCCTGCCTCACATCAAGGCATTGTGTCAGAAACTTAGGCAGTGCTCTATTAAAAAGTTAAATTCCCACATTATCGCAAGACCAGACACACCTCTTTGCCAAGCCAGGATATGTAGCCTGGAATGAAGGGGCAGCTTTAAAAGTCACCTCTGTGGAGTTCCCTGGAGCGAGGGGCAGGTTTTGCAAGTTTTAACTATACTATTCTCTTTGAAGATATTTCTGCCTTCATTTCCCATGAACCTAACCTTGTTCAAAAGGTCTGTTTCAATTGTGTATTCTTTTAAATCTTGTCTCTTAAAAATCTCACATTCGATCTGGTTTTTGTCATCATAATGGGGATCTAACAATACAATCCAGTAAGTTTTCTGAGTATTGCTTTCATAATAATTTGAATGGCATTTTTCTTTAGGTGAGTTTGGGAAGGGATTGTAAATCTTTTCCCATGTCTCTTGGAATGCTGTTTTGGTCAGGTTGAGACAAGCTGGCTGTGATGCAGGAACTATTTTGAACCAAGCTGCAAACATTGGCTTTTATACCATCCTGACAAAACCTGGAAAATATTTCCAAAAAGTACTTCTGTTGCAGCAATGTCATGCCTAAACTATTTAAATGATTATGTTTGTAATAATAGGAATCTAAATCAATATAGTAGTACTTTAAAAAAATATTTGATTTCTGGTGAACAAGACTTATGGATCTTTCCCTGGTATTACTGTGTCTTATGCAACTTAATTTGGTAGGGTGGGAGAGAGCAGAATTTGTTGCTCTGCCACAGACCCGCAGTCCCAATTTCTCCATCTTCCTCCCACTTTCCCCCTTTGTCCTTCAAATCAATGTTGTGGAACCCTGTATTCATGTCACCACCATTCAATAGAATCATACAGTTGGAAGAGACCTCGTGGAACATCCAGTCTAACTCCCTGACAATAAGCATGAAAATCGCATTCAAAGCACCCCTGACTAATGGTTATCCAGCCTCTGTTTAAAGCCTCCAAAGAAGGAACCTCCACTACACTCCAGGGCAGAGAGTTCCACTACTGAACAGCTCTCACTATTAGGAAATTCTTCCTAATGTTCAGGAGGAATCTCCTTTCCTGCAGTTTGGGGAGGGCATAGCAATCTGTGGTTGATAGAAATTGCAGATCCAGAGCTCATGGATCTGGAGAGCGCACTATGTTTAAAAATGGTTAATGCTAGCAGAATTGAAGTATTTGAAGTAATAAAATGCTTGTTTTTCTGCCTAGGTTCTCCAATGGCACCCAATAGTGTGGAGACTTGCAGTCCTGAAGCCCAGTGGCCAAAAAATGAGCCTGAAGATATAGAGATGCCTATGCCTCCTACACTTCCACCTTTGCAGCATGATATGTTCAGCTCCCCCGAACTCTGGATTAGTTCTCTTCCAAGTATGCCTTTTTGATGTTTATATTACTAAAATAGATAGATCAAAATAGTGTACATTGTTGCTTATCATTGCATAGGAAAGTATCATCTCTCTTGTTATCAGTTGTCTCTAACTGACTCTGTGAATAACTTTTCAAACAGTCAGGCATTGCCAATTCAAGATTGTGGTTTCCTTGATTGAATCAGTATATTTGTGTTGTGGTCTTTTTTATTTTTTTAATTGTTGTTATATTGTCTTATCCACTCCCACCCTCCCCTCCTTGTACATGCAATTTATACTGCAAACTACAGAAGTTACATTTGAAATATCAATCTCAGTTAATTGTTCAACTCCACATCTTAGCACATTCTCTAAATAATTCCCAACTGGTTCCCACATCCTCTTAGTTATTATAACCTTTTCAATTGTATCTATATTGTTCCATTTGCAATTTGTTATTTCCACATTTAACATATTAACTATATACTTATGACAATTAGTCAGTGTCCATTTTTGTTTTATCTTTCCATCCTCTCACTAAAACAATTTGTGCACATGCTTTTAATTTGTCAACCAATTTTTCTTTTTGTGTATTTTTTACTTTTGTTATCCTTGCATGTAGTACATATTTGTATTGTGGTCTTGTCCTTTTTACTGCCTTCAGCTTTACAAAATATTGACCCCCCCTCCCCAAATAACTCATCTCATGATATGTCCAAAGAATACCTCACCCTCATTTTGGCTTCAATATCATATCTGGGTAGAGAGAAAAAGCTATATATCTGTGCAATGTGGATTTCCCGCGTTTTGCAGAAAAGGTGTACATGCACCAGTTTTTTTCCTGCAGCTTTCTCCCTCATTTATACTGGTGTAGCCAGTAAATATTCTATGTTTCAAAGTGTATACAGAAACTTAGGGTGTAGAATTATGGGACAGTGACACCACTTTATTCCTTATGGCTAAATGCTGTGGAATCATGGGAGACGTAGCTTTGCTGAGGTACAACCACTATTTGACAGAAGGCTATAAACATTGTAAAACTATAATTCATTCCTTATTGTTGAGCCATGGCAGTTAAAGTGGTGACAAACTGCATTAAACCTACAGTGTAGCTGTGTCCCTAGTTGGAAACTGGTGCTGATGCTGTGATAATAACAGCACAGCCTCTTGTGGAATAGCAGAAATGGTAGTGATGATCAAGCATATTAATTTCTACCAGGGCTGGAAATAATGTGCAATACCCAACATTTTTCACCCTTGTTTATGCTGGCTAGAGCTGCTGAAAGTTACACTCCAACAATATTTGGAGAGCTGCATGATTTCAAGTCTCGTCTATATATCACATCTTTTGCTAAATATTGCATTTGTGTAAACAGCTGGATTTCCCACAAAAACTGGATAAAATGCCATGCTGTTGCTATTTACTGTTACATTGTGAAAGCATGGTTCCTTAAATTGGCCCGATCAAATATTCTTAAGAGTTATATTTCCCAAAAGCAGTGTTTCAAAATCTGATATATAAAAAAAGACTGAGCTCTTCTGTCCAGATTTCATTCACTTTAATAAATGTCAGTTATTGCAAGAATTCCCAGTTATGTTCCAGGTTGTCACGTTTCTAATACTATTATTCTTTGACTCCAGTGACAGACCTTGAAATCAAGTTTGAGTATCGAGGCAAAGAGTTTGGACAAACAATGACAGTGAGCAATCCCCAAGGCTGCAGACTTTTCTATGGAGAACTGGGACCTATGCCAGATCAAGAAGAACTCTTTGGTCCTATTAATTTGGAGCAAGTAAAGTTTCCAGGACCAGACCAGATCACCAATGAAAAGCAAAAGCTCTTTACAACCCGACTGCTTGATGTTATGGACAGAGGGCTGATACTGGAAGTCAGCGGCCATGCTATTTATGCTATCAGACTTTGCCAGTGCAAAGTATATTGGTCTGGCCCATGTGCACCTTCTTCCACCACACCAAACTTGATTGAAAGGCAAAAGAAAGTCAAGCTTTTCTGTTTAGAGACATTTTTGAGTGGTAAGTAATTCTAGTGCTCTTGGAAAAACATGTTGGAGTAGCTAATGTAATATTTGTACACACTGTTCCTGGTATGGGATTAGGTTTTGTGTTCTTCGGTCAACTAGGGCTGTGCTGGTATTATAAATTTGCATTTTCTGTATGCAGGCACTGAAGATCTTGTTACAGTGTACAGTTGGGCTCTATAGTAGCAGTGCATCCTCGTAACATTTCCCTGTCACATTGATTTCAGTTGTCACCAGGCAACATAGATGTAACTGTGGTTCTTGAAATGCTTGCTGATTTGGCCAATTTCACATTTTTAATGATGATAAGTGCATTTGCTCTATTTATTATAGTATTGGTCTAGTACAAGGTTGAAAGAAAAACAGAAATTATGGCTATGACAAAAAATGAAAAGAAAGCTCAGATTTTGTAAGAAAACAAATACAAAATATGTGGTGAATGGAAGGAGCCATGAGTAAAGTATTGGGATGCATGTGTGCTTCACTGTACATCAACAAGCTTTGCTTCTCACCCCACTTAGAACTGATTGGCCATCAGAAAGGACAGATTGCGAAACCTCCATCCTATGAGATATACTTTTGTTTTGGGGAAGAATGGCCAGATGGAAAATCAAAAGAGAGAAAACTGATAGTTGTACAGGTAAGAGACAAAGAAATGGCTAAAAATAACAGTGCTTATTGTGGAAACAGTAGTTGAATTCTTTAGAGATAAGAACCACAGACCACATTCTGTGCTACTAAAATGTAAATATGTTACTTTTTCCTGTAAAATTGATAGTAACTATAAATTATCAGAATTGTATGTATTGTGCTTTGACTTGCCATGGGAAGGTGAAAACAGCTATAAATGGCTCTAGAATTCTTTACATGGAAATTTATTCAATATAAAGACATACTATTTGTACTGAGATGCCATTTGCACATGTATGTGTGTGCACACCCACACAGAGGATGGGATGTGTGTGTGTATACACGCACACATACATACATGGAGAGTGGGATCTGTGTGCATATGAAGATATAAATATACAAACATTAAACCCAAGTTTTTGTTGGCTTAGGGTCCTACTTAATTGTATCCTACATTTCTAAATTAGGAAAGGCTAAGATGACTCAAACACCTGTTTCCTGTTTCAGTGACAATAGCAGTACTGATCAATTGAGACATTCCAACAAGAATTGTTCTAAAACTAGAATATCACTTCTGGTTATGGTTTTAGATGCTGATGAGGCCTTTGAGAGATTTGTGTGTTACATTGTGCCTTCAGGATGAATCTGGGGCTACAAACAAGAACTTGGATGCTGTTTGTGGGTTCTGGATAGTTTTATATTCACCTTTGTTGTAGTAATTCCCATCCTCTTTATATGATATTGAACTATAGCTCCCATAATCCTCAACCAATATGACCAGTGATCAAGGTTTTAGACTACCACCTTGTGGAGATTCAAGGTGTGTTCTTTAATCTGCGTCAGAAAAATAATGTGCTGTCTTTGTTGACAAGAATGGGGAAGGACATTTTGTAAGTGTAGTGGTCTTTATGTTTTAAATGATTGTGTAAACCAGTGCAGTGGAACGTCAGCACCATTCCTTCTGTTCCTTTGCAGGTATATTTGCAATGTGAACATCGTGCAGTAGGAATGAATGATTGTGTCCTTGAAGACAGGTGTTCTAAAATGTCTACTAATTTAGGATGGTACCATTGTATATACTCAGCTCACATCATAACTAGAAATATGTTCACTAAAACTAAAATCAGTATATTCCCAGGTGTAGATGTTACAAATGATAATTTTATTTAGACTAATGCTGTGGAATTTCGTTTGAAACAGGTAATTCCAGTCGTAGCCCGGATGATCTATGAGATGTTTTCCGGTGACTTCACCCGCTCTTTTGACAGTGGCAGTGTGCGGCTCCAGATCTCTATCCCAGATATCAAGGACAACATTGTTTCCCAGCTGAAGCAACTCTACCGTCTGTTGCAAAATCATCAAGAAGGCTGGCCTATGCAGCCACCAAACATGCACATGACTCCACCTCTTGCAGCGCAGTAATGAGCAGGTCTCGCCCAAATGAGGAATTGACTGGATTAGTAAATTGTGTGGATACTGTAATTGTAGTGCAATGTTGGGTTTTTATTTCAGTTAATTGTAAACAACTCTTGAGTACGTGGCGCTGAAATGAGAATGATATATATATATATAATGTAATACTTTGCAGGAATTGTGTTGAATTAACCCTCATGCACTAGGATAGTGCATCCAAATTCCCTAGACCTACAACATTGCATCCATTATATTGTCATCAGTATGGCTGTAAACAATGTCCCCCATTTCAATCATTTGCTGCACACAGTATGTCATATATATATTAAAAATGACTGGGAGAAAAATTGTCCCAACAAAGCTATAACATACTGTTATAAAAATGTCTCAAGCTGTTTTGTGAATCATGATGCAGCAAAGCAGAAGTAATGTGTTCTTTTTATCAGTAAGCTGGTCCCATTTGAAAAAAAATTCAAAATGTCTTCTATTGGAGGTATACTAAAATCCGTGCCTTCCGCTTCCAATATAAATTTTTATTTACTAGTGCATGAAGGTCAATGCATGTAGACAAAAAGTTTACGTTTTTAAATTTTTCTTCCAATTATTGTACATATATGAAAGAATGTTGAATTATGTTTTTATTTGCCTGTAACACAGCAGCGCTGTCTTTATATGTGATCAGATTTCAAATGTTATTTTTCAAAAGGAATTTTAAGAGCTTTTAACACAAATGCTTTATTATTATACATACTTTATGCTATGGGAAATATAGTCACATTATTACGTAAACTGTTTCTACTTTATATATTTTAAAAATAGTAGTGCTGGCACATACAGAATCTGATCAATGCAAAACACATTTGTAATCCTTGTTTTGTAAGTATTTCAACTCTTCAGTAAAATTGTGTAGCAAAATTGTTATCTGAATCACAGAGGTGTTCTGAATGTTGTATGAATAAACCACTGCTGTTTGATAAATCCTTTCTTTTTAAACAAAGGAAGGGTAGACTTCAAATTTTATTTTAATCCTGAACAGAAGTGTTTATTTCAATTCACAATCAGTTGTGCTCACTATAAATTAAATATTACTGAGATGTGTAGATGTTGCTATGTGAAAAGCTATCAAGTGTGTCCTATACTATGCAATTGTATAGTGTGAAAAAAAGAGCAAGCTTAAATCATTTGTTTCCAGTCTGGTTGATAACTGAATGGAGACAAAGAGGGATACACAAGGCTTTCTGATGAACCCATTATTTGCTACCAAATGTGTTTCCTAGCTTGTTTCATAGAGTTTCTTTTTTAAACAGAAAGAAATATTAACTACATTTGCAATGCTTGTTAGAATATCAAATTGCTAGGGTAATAAAGCTCTTTGCTTCTTGTATGTCTTAATCTTATGTAAACAAATTGCACACCAAGAACACTGTAATACTGTTAATGATGTCATCCAACCAACTGTAAATAAGACAACCATTTTGAATATTTTGTTCTGAAGCCAGTGGTGTTTCATGTTTGCTTTAGTGCTAGAAAACACATTAAAACATACTCTCAAATATTCTGTGGAACTATAATGATGTGTTCAGGAGCCAATGTTTTACTATTAGTAGTTAATGGAAACATATATAACTTCCATTTCCAGGATAACTGGCATTCTTCTTTTTCCCAAGCAGTTCATTAGTTAAATTTATATGCTACTTTTCTTTCAATCGCTTCAAGATGGAATGCATGCCTCTCATTCCATCAACTTTGTCCTAATAAGAATTATACCATTTGGTAGGCTCAGAGAGAATGATTGGCCTGAGGTCATCCACAAAATTCTTGGTTCAATGGAACCTTGCTTACTGGAAGTGTTTTCAGAGTTGCCTTTGGTCAACAAAGTCAATACTGATTTCCTTTTGTGTGTGTGTGTGTATCAGGAGCGACTTGAGAAACTGCAAGTCACTTCTGGTGTGAGAGAATTGCTCTCTGCAAAGACGTTGCCCAGGGGGCACCAGGATGTTTGATGTTTTACCATCCTTGTGGGAAGTTTCTCTAATATCCTCGCATGGCGAGCTGGAGCTGACAGAGGGAGCTCATCCGAATTCTCCCTGGATTTGAATTTCTGACTTATTGGTCTTCAGTCCTGCCAGCACAAGGGTTTAACCCATTGCACCACTGGGCGCTATGTGTTTTTGTGTATGAACAATATTTATACAGCTTGTTTAGCTAAGCCACTGAGCTTTGCTCCATGATTTATCACGTTGCCTAAATGGCGCAGTCGCATGCTGGCTTGTTTCTCTGGTTTGGTAAGTTGAGGTGTGAGGAGACAAGCTAATTGATTCCAAGAATATGATAACCCATGGAGTAAATCTCCATGGCTCATTTAGATACGTCTACTCTTTAACAGGAACATGCACCAACAACTTCCTTGTACTGGGTAAACAAGAGTTCCTACTTCTCTATCTAAATATCACCACTCCTTGCTATATTTTATGAATCTTCAATAAATTGATTCATTAGATGGCCTTGGGCAAGATACTGGCCCATTTTAAACAGCTGGTTGCACCACTAGTGTTGACTTGCCTGATTGCAAGAATTTGCAGATTAATCACTGCAGATAGAGCATCCAATCCAGGACTGTTTTAGCAAAGACAATTTTTGTACTCCTAGAATCAGAGTTGGATATATATATATTCTGAAGCAAACAACTTGGACAAAACTTGATGCGAGTCTCTTAGTGTGAGTCTAAGCTCAGACTCTGCTGTCATTACATTCAGTTTTCACCACAGGCCTCTGTACTGTATGTTATTGTTGTCTGAAAAATCAGTTCAAACATAATATTGGAAAATGCTTTGAGTTATGACTTTCTAAATTCAGTGGCAACTCAGGGGGATGCAGAGGTTTGTCAAACAAAACCTACTTTTGTTGGTTGTATACAGGATTGATGTGGGCATAGTAAAGAGACTTTTAGGAGAAATCAAAAAATGTGGAAGGCTGTAAACAGGCTTTATGGGAGCATGTAATTCCTACCACTGGTTTAAGCAGAGCATTAGAAAGGAATAAACGACAGCTTATGATATAAAATCTATTTTAGCCCATATGCATGCGCACTACATACTCTACAACAGTGCTAATGAAGATTTAGGCTAGCAATAGCAACTTGAGTTTTTTCCTTGTTCAATCGAGATTGGGACTGTGGCCGGAATGTAAATGTACTGACAAGTGGGAAAGAATGTGAAAGATACTTGAATGCTTCAGAGTTTTTTCACACTATACAGGGTTAGTCAAAATGAATAGGCCAATAAGAAAATTAATTTTAGACGAATGTATGTTTATTGTAACCAAACTACAGCTACGTAGCGACAGATAAACTATCAAAGTTTTGTCTCACCTTCAGAGATGTTCGATATGGGCGCCCCGTGTGACACGGCAGATGTCCAAGCGATAGTCCAGTTCATTCCACATCCGTTGCAGCACATCCGACGTAATGGCATCGAATGCAGCAACGTCTGGGAAGGTGTTCGTTGAGGTCCTAACCCTATCCCTAACCCTAACCCTAACCCTAACCCTTGAAATTCTCGCTGGACCGTAATTACTGACATTGTTTTAGCAAATGTCATCACACAAAACGCCTTCTCTTTGCTTGATTCCGCCATTTTGAAAACAGCGACCCCTAGCGACGCCTAGCGGCATTAACGTACATGTGTGTTGCTCAAAAAAAACTTTGATAGTTTATCTGTCGCTACGTAGCTGTGGTTTGGTTACAGTAAACATACATTCGTCTAAAATTAATTTTCTTATTGGCCTATTCATTTTGACTAACCCTGTATTTTATAAAATCCTGTCATTTTGAGCAATAATATAATCATTGTGGGAATGCAGAGGGACTAAGAAGAGTTTTGCTAATTTCGGAGAGAGAAAATTAAGAAAGGGCTCTAACCTACAAAAAAGTAATTGGCCAAATACATGAAAAGAACAAAAAAAAAAAAGACTAGCTTACATTACTGGTTTCAGTCCCAACACCAGAAAGCAATTCCAAGACTAAAACAAATGTCAGTGGATGACATCAGAGATGTTCATTAACATTTAATATAACTGTTTCAGTTTCCCACCTGTTTTAATAACCATCAAGTGACATAATGTTTGCTCTAGGCTGAACAAATATATATTTTAAACAAGCAGCTCAAATACTTTTCTTTCGGTATTTCGGTAAATTTGGGGAGCTGACATTAAAAATGAGCTGACAACACGCATAGAGTTATAAACAAATTAGACGTTTATAACACTTTAAAAAACTGCTTAAAATGTTCATTGTGCTTCACACGTGACCCCAAGTATACTTGTCCCACAGATAAGTATCTCACACAGTGTTGCTGCCATTAGGTTTAAATGAATGGGTGGTGGTTTACACATGTATTTTAATTAACAAGCTTTGATGCTTAGATCACAACCATATATTGTCCTGTATTTTCTTATCATTAGTAACTTTTACCATGTTTTCAAGTAGAAAGATATTATCTATATTTAATAAATACTCTTTTACAATACCATAGTAGTCTGCTTACTGCATGTTAACTGAAGAAATAAGTTCCATGGAGACAGGATTCATTCCCAAACAAGGGCACCTAAGACTAAAACCTTAAAGCCTTAGTGTCCAAACCAGGCAATATAACTTGAATTCCACCAAGAACCACTGCCAGCCATTGGACCACTGCCAGCCATTGGTTGCCAATCCTTAATGGGTCCCCCCCCCCCCCCCAAATTGTAGCCAATGGGCACAAATAAGTATCCTTTGTGCAATGGCCCCAGATAGGTTTTGGCTATTCCACTACTTTTAAAAACCTCTTCTCTCTGCAATATGGGCTGAAAATACTGCTTTGATCTTTCAAAACTGTTGAACTGGTTCACAAGACAATGCATGCCACAGGCTATGAACTCCTTAATACAGATGCTGGTAGCTATATTATGGATATGAAACAATTATGCAGAAAATTTATCTAGACTAAGCAGTCTCTTGTATTCCCACAGTGCGAGAAGGTCTCAGAAAGGTCATTGGTAGAAGTCAATATAAATGCAGAATGGAGTGATTTTTAACAGAATGCATATTGTAATCTAATATACAGTTGGCCCTCCACAATTCCTGGAAAAAACGGAAATAACAAAACCAATATTTTTAACCTATGGATGTGAGAGCTGGACCATAAGGAAGGCTTGAGCGAAGGAAGATAGATGCTTTTGAACTGTGGTGTTGGAGGAATATTCTGAGAGTGCCTTGGACCATGAGAAGACCAAACCAGTTCATACTCCAGGAAAGAATACCCGGCTGCTCACTGGAGGGAAGGATATTGGAGGCAAAGATGAAGTACTTTGGCCACATCATGAGAAGAAAGGAAAGATTAGAGAATATAACAATTTATGTATGTACATGCAAATACCTACATACCCATCTGAACGTATCTCCTGCTATGAACCATCACGAAGTCTAAGATTGCAACTGCTGGAGATGAGAGACAGGGCCTTCTCAGTTGTGGCCCCTCACCTATGGAACTCTCTACCCAGTGACATTAGATTGGCCCCCTCACTCTTATCCTTTACTCGAAACCTGGCTATAGGACCAAGTGCTTGAATAGTAGAGGCAGCAATTTAGAATGAGACCCAATTTGTGTGAATGACAATGGACTGACCTGGACTATGATTTCAAACCTGCACAATTTAAACAATATTTTAGTAATTTTAAAACATTAACAAATTGTTTTAATTTCTTTTATCATTTATTACTGTTGTTGGCATTGAATGAATGCCCCGGGGGGGGGGGGGGGGGGGGGAGAAGGACGGAATACAAATATACAAAATAAATAAATAAATATACTCCCAAATCTGGAAAAATCCAACATTCCCAGTACTTCTGCTTCCAAGGTGCATTAATGAGGGTTGAATGAAAAGTAATCCCTCCACCTTCATTACTTGGGTTTGGATGGGAATATTTTAATAAATCAAACACAGAAATAATCCTTAGAATGTGCTCTTTAACTACCACTATTCACTTTTCCACATAATCACCAGACAATTGGATACATTTCTGCCAACAATGAACAAGTTTTCTGAAGCCCTCACGGAAGAAGTCGACACTGCAAACCATCATGCACAGATCTTCCGACAGGCAAGCAAAGCAATAATGTGACCCAGCACGTTCTTGTGAAATGCCGATTATGCTTGAAATTTCTCTCTGAGTGATATGACAATCGTCCTGAATCAATCTGTCAACCTTTGCTTGTGAAACTCGGTGGTTGCTGTCACAGGACGTCCAACTCTTTGTTTGTCATGCAAGTCAGATGTTCCCACCTCAACATCTTTAAACTTACTTGCTCAACAATGCACAGTACTCACATCAACACAATCACCATAAACAGCTTGCATTCTCTGATGAATCTCCTTTGGGGTGACACCTTCTGCTGTCAAGAATTCAATGACTGCACGTTGCTTAAGTCGCATTGACCGACCGTCTGCGCAGGGTTCCATACTTTGCACTTTAACAACACAACCATTCAATGCTAAGGCTTCCCGCCAAAATGGAACTGTAGAGGAGAGTCTA